GAATGGGGTGGAAGAGAGAACGTGAAGGAATGGGGTGGAAGAGAGGAAGCGTAGGAATGGGTGGAAGAGGGGGCAGGGGGGGGGGGCGAATATGCGGAGGTAATTGTGGGTTATTTCGTCTTCCCTTTTCTCTGACCCTGTTTGTTCTTCTCGCCTTTTCCTCTCTCCTCGCTTTCCTTCCCTATTCCTCTCTCCCCACCTCCTTCCTCTCCTCTCCTCTTTTCTCCCATCCCCTTCCTCTCCCAATTCCTCTCCCACCTCCTTCCCTCCCCCATCTTCCCCACCTCCTCTTTTCCCCCCCTTTCTTCTTCCATCCTTTTCCTCCTTCTCCTCCCCCTAACCTTTCCTCTCCTCCCCATCCCATCCTCCCCTACCTCCTTTCATCCCTCCCCCATCCCCTTTCCCTCACATACACTTACAACCCCCCCTCCCCCCCTATCCCCTACCTAGTCCTTTTCCTCCTACCCCATCCCTACCCCCCCACCCTCCACCCTCCTATTGCTATCTTGCCTGTGTTGCAGACACCCCCCTTCACCTCCCTTTTTTGTGTTTGCAAGGTCTCGGGTTTCTTGCAAGGGGAATTATTCTAAGGAGGAGGAGGAGGAGGAGGAGGAGGTTGTGCAGTGTGTGTGGGATGCTGCTGGAGGAGGGGGGGGGAGAGGGGGGAAGATGATGGGGATGCTGTTGGGGACCGGATGAGGGGGGAAGGGAGGATGGGGATGCAGTTGGGGACTGGAGGAGGGGGGGAGGGAAGGAGGGGGGTAGGGGGGATGGGGATGCTGTTGGGGACTGGAGGAGGGGGTGAGAAGAGGGGAGGAGGGGAAGAAGGGGAGGGGGAGGTCATCTTGGGATGTTTGACCTTGGGTGAAGGCAGAAAGGGACCTTTTTCTGTTTCTTAATTGTTTGTTTTTTTCTTTTCTTTCCTGTTATTGCTCATTTTTGTTGTTGTATTTCATTTTTTTCTCTTCTTTTCTTTTCTATTTTTTCAGATATTGTTTCCTTTCCTTTTTGGTAAATATTTTATTTTTCTGATATTGTATGATATTTACTGATTTTTTCTTTTTCTTTTGCAGGTAAGTCGTCGTGGAAAGAACGAGAGAGAGAGAGAGAGAGAGAGAGAGAGAGAGAGAGAGAGAGAGAGAGAGAGAGAGAGAGAGAGAGAGAGAGAGAGAGAGAGAGAGAGAAAAGATAAAAGAGAGAAAGAAAAAGAAAAAGAGAGAGAAAGATACAGAACGAAAGAGAGAGAGAAAGCAAAAAAAAAAAAAAAAAACAAGAAAGAAAGATAGAAAGAAAGTAAGAAAAGAATAAAGGAAAGAACTCATCAGCTACACAGTTCCAGCTCATCTCAGAGGTACGTTTTAGAAAAGGTGTCACACCCACCCACTCACAACTAATTCTCGAAAAGCATCTTTACGCTCGTTATGAACATCAAAACGGTCACGTCACACATATAGGCCTGCGGTAGAACATTCACCATCGTTATAACAAAGGAGTCAGTAGTAATACATTAATTTATCGTCTCAAAGATACGGCTGACACGCAGGTTTGATTGCTATTGTGACATTCAAATTTATCATGTCCATCGCGGCGAGCGGTTAAGTGCCGTGAGTTCGAGATTTATTCATCATTCACTCAGCGGGAGGTATTCATCGGCCGGGCATCGTAGTGAGTGATTCGCCTTCCACGACCACGAAACCGGCGGGCGATTCGGGTTTCTTTTCGGGTCTCGTGGGCCGGAGAGGAAGAGAGAGAGAGAGAGGAAGAGGGGTGGGGTGGGGGGTGGGAATTGGTCTTTTGTTTTCGGTTTCTGTTGGGTTTCTTCTCGTTTTTTTTTTTTTTTGTCGTTTCTGTTGTTGGGTTTCTTGTCGTTTTTTTTTTGTCGTTTCTGTTGTTGGGTTTCTTGTCGTTTCTGTTGTTGGGTTTCTTGTGGTTTCTGTTTGGTTTCTTGTCGTTTCTGTTGGGTTTCTTGTCGTTTCTTTTGGGTTTCTTGTCGTTTCTGTTGGATTTCTTGTCGTTTCTGTTGGGTTTCTTGTGATTTCTGTTGGGTTTCTTGTGGTTTCTGTTGGATTTCTTGTGATTTCTGTTGGGTTTCTTGTGGTTTCTGTTTGGTTTCTTGTCGTTTCTGTTGGGTTTCTTGTCGTTTCTTTTGGGTTTCTTGTGATTTCTGTTGGGTTTCTTGTGGTTTCTGTTGGATTTCTTGTGATTTCTGTTGGGTTTCTTGTGGTTTCTGTTTGGTTTCTTGTCGTTTCTGTTGGGTTTCTTGTCGTTTCTTTTGGGTTTCTTGTGATTTCTGTTGGGTTTCTTGTGGTTTCTGTTGGATTTCTTGTGATTTCTGTTGGGTTTCTTGTGGTTTCTGTTTGGTTTCTTGTCGTTTCTGTTGGTTTTCTTGTCGTTTCTTTTGGGTTTCTTGTGATTTCTGTTGGGTTTCTTGTGGTTTCTGTTGGGTTTCTTGTCGTTTCTTTTGGGTTTCTTGTCGTTTCTGTTGGGTTTCTTGTCGTTTCTTTTGGGTTTCTTGTGATTTCTGTTGGGTTTCTTGTCGTTTCTGTTGGTTTTCTTGTCGTTTCTTTTGGGTTTCTTGTGATTTCTGTTGGGTTTCTTGTCGTTTCTTTTGGGTTTCTTGTCGTTTCTGTTGGATTTCTTGTCGTTTCTGTTGGGTTTCTTGTGATTTCTGTTGGGTTTCTTGTGGTTTCTGTTGGATTTCTTGTGATTTCTGTTGGGTTTCTGTTTGGTTTCTTGTCGTTTCTGTTGGTTTTCTTGTCGTTTCTTTTGGGTTTCTTGTGATTTCTGTTGGGTTTCTTGTCGTTTCTGTTGGGTTTCTTGTCGTTTCTGTTGGGTTTCTTGTCGTTTCTTTTGGGTTTCTTGTGATTTCTGTTGGGTTTCTTGTGGTTTCTGTTTGGTTTCTTGTCGTTTCTGTTGGGTTTCTTGTCGTTTCTGTTGGATTTCTTGTCGTTTCTGTTGGTTTTCTTGTCGTTTCTTTTGGGTTTCTTGTCGTTTCTGTTGGATTTCTTGTCGTTTCTGTTGGATTTCTTGTCGTTTCTGTTGGGTTTCTTGTCGTTTCTGTTGGATTTCTTGTCGTTTCTGTTGGATTTCTTGTCGTTTCTGTTGGGTTTCTTGTCGTTTCTGTTGGATTTCTTGTCGTTTCTGTTGGGTTTCTTGTCGTTTCTGTTGGGTTTCTTGTCGTTTCTGTTGGTTTCTGTTCGTTTAGGTCGGGTCATGGTAGTTTAGGTAGGTTAGTTTATGCTGGTTTCTGTTGGTGTTTATGTTGGTTTTGTTAGTATATGCTGTTTATGTTGGTTTTGTTAGTATATGCGGGTGTGTGTTAGGGTTTATGCTTCTTCTTTATGTTTCTTTAGTATGGGTTGGTTCTGTTTGTCTGATTTTGGTTTCTGGTAGTTTATGTACGTTTCCGTTGTTTTCTATTAGTTTATGCTAGATTCTGTTACTTTATGTTGGTTTCTATTTCTTTAGGCAGGTTTCTGTTAGTTTATGTTGGCTTATATTAGTGTATGTCATTCTGTGTTGGTTTCTGTCAGTGTTTGTTACTCCATGTTGGTTTCTATTACTTTAGGTGGTTTCCAGTTAGTTTATGTTGGTTTATATTAGTGTCTGTTACTCTGCGTTGGTTTCTGTTAGTGTCTGTTACTCTGCGTTGGTTTCTGTTAGTGTCTGTTACTCTGCGTTGGTTTCTGTTAGTGTCTGTTACTCTGCGTTGGTTTCTGTTAGTGTCTGTTACTCTGCGTTGGTTTCTGTCTCTTTCTGTCGGTTTCTGTTGTGTTTGATGGTGATATTCTGTTACGTGTCGCGGAGAACGTGTGTAATCAGTTTGCGATGTTTATTGTTATTCATTTTTATTATTGTTTTGTGTTCTTGGTGTTGGGTGGCAGAATTGAAGGGATATTTATGCACTTCGATGTATGTGATGTGAAGTGAGAGAAGGAAGAAGAGGAAGAAGGAGATGGTTAAAAAGGAGGAGGAGGAGGAGAACAAAAAGAAGTCTAGGGCATGGAGGAGAAGAAGAAGAACAAAAAGAAGGAGGAGGAGGAGGAGGAGGAGGAGGAGGAGGAGGAGGAGGAGGAGGAGGAGGAGGAGGAGGAGGAGGAGAAGAACAAAAAGAAGAAGAAGGAGGAGGAGGAGAAGAACAAAAAGAAGAAGAAGAAGGAGGAGGAGAAGAACAAAAAGAAGAAGGAGGAGGAGGAAGAGAAGAACAAAAAGAAGAAGAAGAAGGAGGAGGAGGAGAAGAACAAAAAGAAGAAGGAGGAGGAGGAGGAGAAGAACAAAAAGAAGAAGAAGGAGGAGGAGGAGAAGAACAAAAAGAAGAAGGAGGAGGAGGAGGAAAAGAACAAAAAGAAGAAGAAGGAGGAGGAGGAGAAGAACAAAAAGAAGAAGGAGGAGGAGGAGGAGAATAAAAAGAAGGAGCAGGAGGAGGAGGAGAACAAAAAGGGGGAGTAGGAGAAGAAGAACAACAACAAAAAGAAGAAGTCTAGGACAAGGAGAAGAAGAAGAACAAAATGAAGAAGAAGGAGGAGGAGGAGAAGAAGAAGAACAAAAAGAAGTCTAGGACAAAGAGGAGTACGAAGGAGAAAATAGGAAGAAGTTTAAAAGTAGAACCAAAGAAGAGATATGAAATCAGAAGAGGAATAGAGCCAAATAAATTATTGAGAAAAATAAAGAAAGATTAAGAGGCGAACCGAATGGAAACACGGAAAAGGGAGACCAGACAGGGGCGGCGCCAGGACCCCCCCCCTGTCCCTCCTTTCACATCCTGCTCCTGAGCTCACGTGCAGCGCGGCGCCAGCTTAGGCATTCACCTAACTAAGCATCTGTACCTCTTTGCCGCGGATTCACGTCGAGTGTGACTGGACTCGAGTGATTAATTTGTCTAGCGGAGTCGATGCGTGAGTGGGTTGCACGGGCACGCCCTCCTTGCCGCCGCGGGGAGGGCGTGCGGGGTGGGGGGGGGAAGGCGCCAGCTGCGTCATCGGGGGAGTCTCGCGGCCGCCGGCGCTCGTCGTCGTCGGCGCTCACGTCGGCGTCGGGGCTGCTTTTGACTTGGTCCTCGTGGTCTGCGTTGTCGTCGTCGTGGTCGTCTGCGTCTTATGCTTGGTTTTTGTCGTCGAGGTCGTCGTTGAGTCACTTCGCCGTCTTCGTTGTCGTCGCGGTCGTTGCTATCGCCATCTGCCATTGTGATCGTCTTATGGTTCGTCGTCGTTGGGGTCCTGGTGGTGGTGGTCGTAGTCGTCGCCGCGTCGTGGGGATGCGATGTGTTGTAACGCACGACAGGGATAAGGAAAAGGTCGCGGAGGCGTTGGAGGAATAAATAGAAAATAATAAATAAGTAAAAAAAAAACAGTGAATGGGAAAGAAGAACGACAGCAAACGTGTCCGTTTTCGTCGTCGTATGTTTGGATGACTTCGGGGCCGACGAAGGGGATGGTGGCAGCGGCGGGATAGGGATGGGACTGAGGACGGTGATGACGCAAAGGAGAACGATGATGTAAGGACGATAATAAATGATAATGACAGCTGAAGCGTAACTTTCAACGTACGCACCGTTGGCTTCGCTGTGCGTCGCGGTATAAGGGAAGGAGAAGGCAGGGATGGGACCAGTGGCGGGATGAGGCATGAGGGATGACGGAGGGATAACGATGAGGCAAGGATGTGATGACTGGTGATGGATGTAACAAAGAAATGGTGATGACTTTAGTGTTGATTAAAGGATGAGATTATGTCATTGTACCAGAGCATAGAAAACAACAACAGCATCAACTATTTTGAGAACAACGAAAACATAAGAACGACGATATTACAAGAACAACGAGGGAACGAGAACAACGATAACGCAAGAACAACAACAAGGAACACAAGAACAGCGACATTGCAAGAACAGATACCACATGAACACGAGAACACAGCACTCGAGAGGAGGCAACAGTGCATGTTTACGGAGGCGAAGCTACCGTGAAAGGTTATATTTAGTGGAAGTTACTGGAGATTTGGGAAGGTATAAGGGGGTAGGGGGGGAGAGAGGGAAGAGGGGGGGGAAGGGAAGGGATATTGAGGTAGTAGGGAAGAGGGTGGGGAAAAGGGAAGGGGGGGGGGAGATTGAGGTAGTAGGGAAGGGGAAGGATGTATGGGCAGCGAAAAGAAAAGGGAATGGGAAAGGGCTTGAGGAAAGGGAAGAGGGTAGGGGTTAAGGGAAGGGGATAGGAAACAGAGAATGGAGTAGGCGAAAGAGAAAGGGGAAAGAGGAAGGCGAAAGGGAATGAGATAGGGCAAAGGGGAATGAAGCTGCATACAAGCGAGGAGAACGAGGAACGAGGAAAGGGGAAAGGAGGGGGGGAGAGAGATAGGGGAAGAACCATGGTAGGCTTGGGTAGGGGAAGGGGAAGGGGCGGGGGACGAGGGAAGGGGGGCGCGGACGGGGAAACAAACCATGAAATATTAGATTGTGATCATGGGATTTGATGGAGATGGAGAGCGAGTGTGTCCGGTCATTTCCCGCACGCACGCTGCTCGGGTATTAACTCGGAACGTGTATTTGTGTATTCGTGGCTAGGGGGGAAGGGGGGGGGAAGTGTAAGTGGGTGTATTTATGCGTAAGTGGATGGAATTTTGATACAGGAAGGGTAGGTAAATTAGGTCGATACAAGCGTTTCATCGTTGTTAGGGCTATATATCTATTTTTTCTGGTTTTATCCGATTTCGTCCTTTTTTTTATCGTATTTCAATTAAAAGCCTGCATTTACACCAAGAAATTATTACTCTCTCGTGTGAGTATCCCTTTTCTTTAAGAGAGTTTCCCACGTGTCTGTGAGATAGGCCTATCAACCGTCCAGCCTTCCTTCCACCTTTCGTACATGACGTCATAAGGGTCATTTTTACCCTCCGTGTTGAAGGCATTTTCAGAAAAGGCACTCTGGTCCCTTGCCTTAAGTGAAATACCATACGGGATTAGCGATCTATGGTAATGTATAGGATACCAGGGAAGAAACCCTCGGGCGTCTAAACTTCCTTATAAGTAAAAAATAAAAGGGTATGGTCTGACGGGGAGGGGGGTAGAGGGGGAGGGAGTGGGGGTAGGGGAGGTAAGACTGACCACGGGACAAGGCGAGATGAATTATGTGTTTTTTTGAGTATATGTATCTTGTTTATCTTTACCCGTGGTAATAGTTTTTTCTAATCTCGCTCTTTCTCTCTCTCTCTCTCTCTCTCTCTCTCTCTCTCTCTCTCTCTCTCTCTCTCTCTCTCTCTCTCTCTCTCTCTCTTCCTCCCTCTCTCTCTCTCTCTTTCCCTCCCTCCCTCCCTCCCTCCCTCTCTCTCTCTCTCTCTCTCTCTCTCTCTCTCTCTCTCTCTCTCTCTCTCTCTCTCTCTCTCTCTCTCTCTGCATCCTATCTTCCCTCCTTCTTCACCCAATCTCTCCCATCTTCCCTCCTTTCTCCCTCCTTATTTTTCCATCTAATCCCTCCTTCCTTCCTTCCCTCTCCCTCCTTCCTTTCTTACCTCTCCCTCCTTCCTTCCTTACCTCTCCCTCCTTCCTTCCTTCCTTCCTTCCTTCCTTCCCTCTCCCTCCCTCCCTCTTTCCTTCCTTTTCCACCTAACCCTTCCCTCTTTCCTCCCTTCTCTCTCCCTCCTTCCTTCCTTCCTTCCCTCTCCCTCCTTCCTTCCTTCCTTCCCTCTCCCTCCTTCCTTCCTTCTCTCTCCCTCCCTCCCTCTTTCCTTCCCTCTCCACCTAAACCTTCCCTCTTTCCTTCCCTCTCCTTCCTTCCTCCCTCCCTCCCTCCCTCCCTCCCTCCCTCCCTCCCTCCCTCCCTCCCTCCCTCTCCACCGAACCCCTCCGTCTTTC